CGGGCCAAAGTTGGCCCGTGGTGACGTTTAATTTGGCCCGACATGCCATATAAGAGATGAGGGAGGCTGGAAATACCATTGACGCTTGGCCTGTCAAGATAATTACTATGAGCTCAGTAAGCTCCTCCACACACACAGAGAGACGAGGATCTGAGTGTGTGCGCTTACCTGCGTCTGTCCTTCTTCAGGACAAGTCATATATTTGTGAAACAGTTTGCCATCAGTTGTCAGAGGAAGAAAGCAATATCTTTGTCAGAGTATCCTTTCAACATTTAATGGGATTTCCCATGACTGGCGTCAGCGCTGTTCAGTGCATTGAATCAACGCGATTGATCACTATACAATAAAACATCTGCTTTAGCGGTACTCAGGTACACATATGTTGATTGTTGATTGGGCCTTATAAAGTGGCACTGAAATTAATTTCAGCACCTAGTTTAATTCATAAATGAATCTGTGATTTTAAGCGTTAGCTGAATGAACGCAACGGTTTAATGATGACTACTCAATAACAGTACTTTTGGAAAGTCTCTTTATATAGCGTAATATAATAATGATATAGGGTTAATATTGATCCACTCAAAATCACTGCCAGCAAAGTTTCCTGATAAAAGTCCTGTGCAAACAGGCACAAGTGATATTGTGTGTGTTTGGCAGTACCTACCTCTGTGCACACTTACAGTCTGTTGAACTTGAACAAGTGTAAAATAAGAAGCAAACTAACTATCACCTACATAATATTCTGACTTTGTCAGTCAGTCAGCTGCAGCCCAATTTGGAAAACATTTGATTTTCTCATTAGAGGTCACTGTTTTTGCAAGCATATGGCTGTATGGCTTTTATCTTGAATAGCTGTATTAGGCATTGAACTCACTCGTACTATAACTGGGATTGTTTTCATTGTACTATAAGTTTAATTGAACTATACAACTTTGAAAATAAAACTGCATTAGTTAAGCAGATTACAGAGTAATGTTTTCTTTTTATTTATTAATTTTTAAATATTATATGAACTTAAAAATGATGGGAATCTTGCGAACTTTAATTTTAATATAATAGAGTTTGGTATCATGCAATGTTTATTTTTGGCCCTTCATAGGAAAAAGTTTGGGCACCTCTGCACTAGCTGGAGCTTATTTGTTGACCCTGCAATAAGGTGAAAGAAGGCTATGATTACCAACAAAACAATTTGTGAATGCAACAACCAGATATGTGATTGTGGAAAACAATGTAATGGTACATCCCTCCATCAAGAGGCTGGAGGTCCTAAAGAATGGAAACGGGGTCCTAAAGAAAACAAAGAATTAACAATATTGACAAGAGGTTCTGAAATTACAGATTATACACTTTTCAGTAGATTAGAATGTATAGGATCCAGCACGTGTTTGAATTGATGCTTTTCATGTCTAAATGTTTTGATACCTGTTGCTTTATGCCTTTAAACTGGTGTTAAAGGGATAGTTCACCCAAAAATGAAAATCTGATGTTTATCTGCTTACCCCCAGGGCATCCAAGATGTAGGTGACTTTGTTTCTTCAGTAGAACACATTTGATGATTTTTAACTCCAACCGTTGCAGTCTATCAGTCGTATAATGCATGGCAATGGTAACAAAATCTATGAGAGTAAAAAAAAAACATGCACAGACAAATCCAAATTAAACCCTGCGGCTCGTGACGACACATTGATGTCCTAAGACACGAAACGATCTGTTTGTGCCAGAAACCGAACAGTATTTATATAATTTTTTACCTCTAATACACCACTATGTCCAACTGTCTTTGGGCGTGTGCACGGCATCCGGTGCGTGAGATGTGTACGCGCTCTGGCGTAGTTTACAAAAACGCCGGAAGTGATCTCTCACGCGTATACGTCACTCATTGTTTACACAGTCATTGTAGGTATGACGGCTAATCAAAATGGTACTTACTTGTGCTTATCCGGATTGTTGAAACCGACTTAAAACTAAAAGATTTATGTTCTGTCGCGCGAACTCATTCGGGAGTGGTGACTTTCCATGTATTCCCAACTTCTGAGCCTGCTCGCCTGAAGTTATGGTTGATTGCTCTTCGGCTGGATATCAACACACCCATTAACATAAACTACGCCAGAGCGCGTACACACTTCACGCACTGGATGCCGTGCACGCGGCCAAAGACAGTTGGACATAGTGGTGTATTAGAGGTAAAAAATTACGTAAATACTGTTCGGTTTCTGGCACAAACCGATCGTTTCGTGTCTTAGGACATCAATGTGTCGTCACGAGCCGCAGGGTTTCATTTGGATTAGTCTGTGCATGTTTTTTTTACTCTCATAGATTTTGTTACCATTGCCATGCATTATACGACTGATAGACTGCAACGGTTGGAGTTAAAAATCATCAAATGTGTTGAAGAAACAAAGTCACCTACATCTTGGATGCCCTGGGGGTAAGCAGATAAACATAACATTTCCATTTTTGGGTGAACTATCCCTTTAACTTGTATTTGTCTCTTTTCACCTCAGACCTGATGGCGTTGAAAGAGAAGATTTTGAATGAAACGGAAGAGAAAGATCAAAATGGTCATGAGCATGATTTTCAAACTGAAGAAAAATCAAGTAGTTGCTCACATGAAAAGACTTCATCACCAAAAAACACAAAAACACTCGCTACAAACCTTAATTCCCACATGAAAATTTATACTGGAGAGAGACCTTTCACCTGCCAACAGTGTGGAGAAATTTACAATGGAAAAGAAAGCCTTAAAGTCCACATGAAAACTCACATTGAAAAGAACCTGTTGATATGCTCTCAGTGTGGAAAGAGTTTTACACAGAAAAGAACCCTTAATTCCCACATGAGAACTCACACTGGAGAGAGACCTCACTCCTGCAAACTGTGTGGGAACAGTTTTACACGAAATGGAGATCTCAAGACTCACATGAGCACTCACAGTGAAGAGAAGCCATTTGAATGTGATCAGTGTGGAAAGAGTTTTACACTGAAAAAAAACCTATACGTCCACATGAGAATTCACAATGGAGAGAAGCCTTACACCTGCCCTCAGTGTGGGAAGAGTTTCTCACGTAAAGAAAACTTCAAGACTCACATAAGAAGTCACACTGGAGAGAAACCATACATATGCTCTCAGTGTGGAAAGAGTTTCACTGAAAAGGGAACCCTTAATACCCACATGAGAATTCACATTGGAGAGAAACCTTTCACCTGCCTTCAGTGTGGAAAGTGTTTCACGATTAAAGGAAACCTAAACACTCACATGCGGATTCACACTGGAGAGAAGCCATTCACATGTGATCAGTGTGGAAAGAGTTTCAGACATAATGTAAACCTTAATAATCACATGAAGATTCACTCAAGAGAGAAGAGTTTTAAATGTCATCAGTGCAAAAGGAGTTTTACAGACACAAATCATCTTAAGAATCATGTTAAAATTCACATTGGAAAAAAGCCTTTCATGTGCCATCACTGCGGAAAGAGTTTCTCAAAAGGAGGACACCTCAAGGTTCACTTGAGAATTCACACCGGAGAGAAACCTTTCACCTGCGGACAGTGTGCAAAGAGTTTCAGTCAGAAAATAACCCTTCAGCTTCACATGAGAGTTCACACTGGAGTGTCTCGAGTGTGAGAAGAGTTTCACATGTCAAAAACTGAAATGGCATTTGCAAACTCATTCTGGGAAGAAATTCCTGTTAGAGTGACAAGAGGTTTAGAAAAAGGAGTAATTTCTACAATAATCTTTGCATTCATTCTGGAAGACAATTCAGTTGTCAGTGACATAAAAACATTTGTTTACCATCACAATTACAGAAACAGGTGAAAAGTCATAGAAATGTGAGACCCTGTTTATGTTCTTTGTTAAAGAGTATGACAAGAAAAAATGTGGGCTACATCTGATTGACATCTTCTTGGCTATTCTTTTACTTTTATTTGCATCCTTCATCTCTTTATATTTCACCATAAGGCTTTTTTTTGTGCATATGTACTCCTGTGGCCATACCTGATTGTCGTC